GATCTAGAAATAAGAGAAACTGTCCTTCCTGACCTCACAGAGAGAAGGCATGGGCGAAGGGATACAGGTTAACTTATCAGGTTCAGCACTGGCCTTCGTCATGACAGTATAATCACTGAATGAATGAATGAATGAAGCAATGAATGGACTAAGCAAACCAATGACAGGAAAGCAACCATGTGGAAATGGAAGAAGACAGCTGCTGATGGCAGAAAGCCAAATTTATCTTTCTATTCCCAATAGTTAATAAGCACAAAGTGGGTCTCCACTTAAGAATTCATTGGATGACAGCTCAATCACTGATCATATGTAAAGCAGCTCACCGGTGGAAAAAAAAAAACTGCCCTACAAAGAGTGAGCTCCAAAATCCTCTGCTCAGATTCTCCCGTGAGAAAGGGTCTCTACCAAGCAACAGAGCCAAAGGTTGCAGTCACCACCACAGAGCGCAGGCGCAGACAATCCTTCCCAGGGCCTCAGAGATCCTTTGTAACCCCCAAACACTGAGAAGCTGTGTTATATTTCCAAAGCAGTACATCAGTTGAAACATCCACCATATTCGGCTCCAGAGAGATGATGAGTACTTGAGAAGAGACACTATGAAGGTGACAGTGTCCCCTGCTAGACAGTCACCAGACGCAGACTGTGGTTGGCGTCACCTCCAGGACACCTCTTCTTCAGGCCTCCGGCGCTTCCAGGCTTTGTGAAACTTTCAAGTCAGTGAGACTGTCTTAGTCTCTACACATCTACTCACCAGTAGTGAAATTCACACCACACCAAATGATCCCCCCCCCACGCACATACACAACACTGAACTGTGTGTTTGCATACTGCACGGGTGCTGCTTCTTACTCATAACCTATGAAGGACCCTTAAGCTAACACCATATATTCTTCATTAATGAATTGAATTGGGAAAATGCACTATATTTGATAATATCTGAATGCCTCTTGTATATAAAGTGTACATTGATTCAGGAAAAGTTGGTCTTCTACTTATAGGTATTGTTAGAGATGTATATGATCATGTAAAACAAAGTTCCTGGGCCTGGTGCAGTAGCTTAGCAGCTAAAGTCCTCACCTTGCACACACTGGGATCCCATACTGGGTGCTGGTTTGTATACCAGCAGCCCTGATTCCCATCCAGCTCCCTGCTTGTGGCCTGGGAAAGCAGTTGAGGGCGGCCCAAAGCCTTGGGACCCTGCACCCCTGTGGGAGACCCAGAAGAGGCTCTGGGCTCCTGGCATTGGATTGACTCAGGTCTGGCCATTGCAGCCGCTTGAGGAGTGAATCATCCAACAGCAGATCTTCCTCTCTGTCTCTCCTTCTCTCTGTATATCTGACTTTCCAATAAAAATAAATAAATCTTTAAAACACACACACACACACATTTCCTATTTGGGGTTGAAGTCCTCTAAATTTGAAAGTACCTGTAACAAAAGATCAAGAAAATGCTGGCAAAGAGCAAGGGCTTTGGAGTTCAACTTAGCAGTTTGAACGCCAGTTCTGCCATTTACATGCTAAATTATACAGTGCTGTACGTTACAGCTGGAATACAACAACAACAACAACAAAAGGACAACTGAGGAATACTCAATCCCGTGGCTGCCTGCAGTCTCCGGATAGATATGGTGGCTGCCCCACACCTCGTATCTCTTTCTCTCTCTCTCTCTCACACACACACATCTCTAAGCACTCACAGAGTCCACTTAGAAAAGAGCCTCCCTTCCTTCCACATGCCCCTGTACGGCTCCTAAAAAGCCTGAGCTGGGGACTGACAATTAGAAACAGTAGGAACCTAAACTTCCACAAACGTGAGTGGGAAAATTAGGGGAGTTCTTTCTGAACACAGGCCTTGGTCCCCGGGAAGGTGAACAGCGAGCAAAAGCCCAGGGATGTCCACCTGAGCAAGGACGCTGACACGTATGCCCTCTGGTGGCTCTCAGTCCAGTCAGAGGCTTCTGGAGCAAGGGACAAAGGAGATCTCCATAATCCCAAACTTCCTTGCTCAGTTTCTTCACAAGGAGCAAGGTTAGGCATGGTGGGGGAGGGGATGGGGCAGGTAACAGGTGTGTTCTCTCAACTCCCACTGTCCTCCCCCTGCTTGGTTTGTCCTTAGGCCTGACTTCTGCCAGGGAAACCCACCACACAGGCTCGAGGCTTGGGGGAGGGGGGCAGGGAAAGTGACAGGGACAGGCACAACCCCCGGTCCCCCACAGCCAGGTGCCACATCAGGCCCTGATCCTCTCCCGCAGAGGCCTGACTCCAGCTGCCAAGGAACTCCTGTCTGCCATGGTCTTATCACTCCCAGAGTTCCATCATTTGCCCCAACACACCCAAGGGCATACAGTTTTCGGGGGGGAGGGGGTCTTTGGAGCTAACCCCCATTCTTTATATCTCAGAGAACTCAAAGAGCAAAGAACAGAGGCCTCCCACCAGCACCTGGCCTGGGCTCCTGGGAAAATCTCTCGACTTGCCAAGAGAACCCCACCCTGCTCTGTGTCTTCTACGCCCTGTCCTTTGGGGGCTATGAGAGGATTTGGTCCAGCACTGCACCCTCTCTGGATGCCTCCCATCTTCTCTAGCTTCCTGATCATATGGCAGAGCCACAACAGGGTGCTTACAGAGATGGCCCCATAGGGTCTTGAATCAGTCGTGAGGGCCTCATCAGGCCAACAGGGTAGCTTGACACCCTAAACCCTTATGCCTCTGCCCTCACAGTGAGAAGACTAGAAAACAAACCATGTTGCTTCGGCTAAAATGAGCAGGCTTCCTAAATGTGCACTCATACAGAAAAAAAAAAAAAAAGGCAGTAATGGCTGTAGGGGGAAGTGGGAAAGAAGAAGAGAGGGAATGTCACAGCATGGGGACAAAACATCAGTCTCAGAAAATCTTCAGAGGCTAGGACCCGTGGGCACCCCCAGCCCCGCAAGTCTTAATGGGCGAAGCTTCTGCACTGAAACTTCAGTGCCTGGATCTCCGGCAGAGGGCAGGACGCAAAGGGGAGGGAAGCCTGCACGTGGCCAGCAGGAACCACAAGGAGACGAGGCCCAGAGCCCAGGCCTCTTCTGGGCCTCCCTGGGCTGGCCACCTGAGCACCTGGCCCGCCACCAGGGCCCAGCGTGACTCCTTGCGGCGCCACACCCACAGGCTGCCATGTTCTCTTCCCACAAACCTGAGGTTTTCCCTTAAAGCAGAGCTCAGGCTGGCAGGGATGAGTGCAGTTAGCCAGTCTGGCTTGGGTAGTGGCTGCAGGGCAGGCTAAGCAGTGCCTGGCCACTGAGCTGCCCCTGAGGCAGAAACCACTGAGCATCTTTGAGGATACCTGCTCTGTATGTGGCAAGGTGGACAAAATGCCCAAAATACACCCAAAACAAGAGTCGGGACCCAAAAGGGTCCCACTCCCTGTTTCTCTGGACTCCCTGTGGGGTGCCTGTGTGTAGGATTTCTGCAGAAGATAGTCCATTTTGTTAAGCCTTTGAATATTCAAATTGAAAGTATCGCGCAATCATTGATTGTCAAATCATGGGTTTCTAGAGGTTTTAAATACTTGGCATGAGGGGGAAAAAACTCAAACCTATACCCGAAGGTATAAAACATTAATTCTGTTTGTCTCCTGCTCCAGGGACCTGGGTGCAGCCGGATGCTTTGTGAAACTTTAAAAATGTTGCATCTCTGCTTCTCTCCCTGCACTAGGAGAAGCCTCCTTAGGCGCCAAGACTCTGCAGCTGCAGGACCCAGCCTCCGACCAAGCTCGTGCTGATCACCATGTCGGGTAACTTGGCCGCTTCTCCTGGGATCGGGTCACGCGGGGCCAGGGGGCACTGCAATCCGGGCGTTATTTCCACAGCTTTTCCTGTGTAGAACAGAGAGACACAAAGTCAGAGCACCCGAGTAAGGACCGGGCGGGGATCCGGGAGAGGGCGCGGGCCACGCTGCGGTCGCTCCCATTCAACACCTGCTCCGGAGGGCTGAGGCCCCGAGGCCGAGATGGCCGCTCCGGACGCTGGTGCACCCCGGGCCCTGGCCCACCCTCCCACATCCACCATCTCGGGTCTCAGCACTTTGCGGCGCCAACCCTGCGCACCCAAAAGCGGCGGCTGGGGGAGCTAGAGGCTCACTTTGGAGCCCGGGACGCGAGCAGGGCACTGGCCACACCGAGCCGAGCTCTGGCAGTCCCTGGGCAGACCCCCCGAGGAGGGCCCCGCCAGCCGCGGAGCCGGGAGCTGAGCAAGGAAGAGGGATGGGGGAGACACGGGGCACGGAGATGGCGCGACCTCCGGGCCCCGCCGGCAGGACGCAGGTCTTTCTGGATCTGGGCAAGGAATCCCTCAATATCCTTCCCTGGGGAGCCACTAGCTCCCTGAACTTGGCCTGGACCGAGGGGAGAAGGGATCCCCACTATGCCCAGCTGCGGTCCCTGCAGCAGCCAGACGAGGCGCTGATGGCCTGGCACAGTAGCCACGCGCCCAGATTGAATGGCCCCTCCCCGAGCGGTCCCCGGGGCTCACTCCAGGGTGAAGGTCAGGATAGGAGGCTTACTGGGCTCCTGTGGTCACCCCCCTACCCCACCCGGGAGCTAATCTGGCCCGGACCCAGCTTGGCCTTACAGCGGCTACTACTCACTGCGGCTCTAGCGGGGTCGGGCTGCAACTGCCCCACTCCCAGTGCACACAGGGTCCCTCCCCGCGGACCTCTCCGGCGCACAAGACCCGTCGCTCCAGGGCGCTACGGATCGGCCTCCGGCTAGCCCTTGGACGGTCCCTCTCGGTGGAGTGCGCGGTCCTCGGGCGTCCCAGCAGCTAGCGCTGCGCGGACTTGCCCCAGAGGCTGCGTGCGCCACCAGAAGCGCCTGCCCCAGGAAGGGAGGGGTGGGGAGAGAGGGGAAGAAGGGAAGAGCAAGAGCAATGTTGGGGCCGAAAAAAGAGAGGAGGAAAAGATGGAGCACAGAAAAGGCTGAAAAAGGGCAGGGGCGGGGGGCGGGGGGAGAGAAGAAAAGTAAAAATGGATAAAACTAGCAAAGAGACAGGGATCCCTGAACTGGATTCTGCTTCTGGGGTCAGCCTGGCAGGTCCCTCCGCTGGGGACCAGTTTGTCCCAGGACTGCCATCCAGACCAAGGGTGTATAAAGGTCAGGCCGCCGTCTGCTGAAGCCAGGCCTGGTGTGGTGGAGAGGGTCCTTGGGACCACATGTGGGGTGTACTAGGGCCCCCACTGAGGGACCCAGAGCAGGCTACAGCTGCAGGGCTGGGTCCAAACTCCAGGCGCTCCCCTAAATGTTAGCCAAGGGGGTGCGTGCGTCCAGAGCCTAGGCAGCACTCCCCTGTGGCCAGGACAAAACTCCCCCTCTAATCTACAGAGCTTCTGTTTCCATGGGGGCGTCCAGAAACTTGTTCAGCCTCACTGTGTCCTTTGAATAGGGAAAAATCTGAGTTTTCCACTGCCTTTCAGCATTCTCTTGATGTCCTCCTAGAAACTGAGCTATCCTGGCGCCATAGCCTGTCAAGGGAAACCCAGCCCCAATATACAAACCTTGGACTTGACCACTGACTCAGTTGCCTTTTCCCAGAAAAACCGAAGGTCTATCAAGGTGTCCGTGTGAAGATCACAGTAAAGGAGCTGCTGCAGCAGAGAAGGGCACACCAGGCGGCCTCAGGGGCGACCGTAAGCATGAAACCTCTCCCTTGTTCCCCGGGGCACAGGGATGCCCCTGCCAGCCCTGCCTCTGAGAAAGTGTGCAGGCCTGGGGCTCCCCGGCTGAGAGCTGGCAGGTCCCCTTTTCCCTCTCTGTTCACCACAGGAGGCCACAGAGAATGGGGGATGGGAGGTGGATGGGGGAGGATATTGTGGAATTTGGGGGGATTGCATTCTCCACAGATCAAAGTATTAAAGGCTTCCTGGCCCAATGCAGGGACAGGGCTGGGCAGCAGGTGAGTAAGTCATTATGGGGTTAGGAAGGCTGTGTGTGTGTGTGTGTACAAACCTCACACACCCACAGTGCAGCTCTCCTAGAAATCCCATTCATTTTAGGGAGGACTTCCAGGGATGCACCTGTGGAAAACCCCTTCCAATCCTCTGTTTCTTTGACCTGTGAGGTCACCTCTCTGTAAATCGCCAGGCCCTGGAAGCTTCCAGCAAAAAAGAGCTATGCCATTGCAGAGGTCATGGCTTAGAGGGTATATGAAACCAGTTCCTTAAGAGTCCATGTTGCCAGAATGAAGCTGCAAGTTGTTACAGAGTTGGTCAGGACAACCTTAAGGACACTTCTCCATAGCCCAATGCAAACAGACATCTCCAGAAGCACTCAGGGAAGTGGCAACAGAGGCAGGGGCAGAACCAAAGAAGCCACGTGGAGTTCCCAAGGAGCAGCAACTTATTGCTGAAAGCCCTTGGCCACACAATTGCCTATGGGTAGATGTGGGTGTGGAGGTAGGATCTGACAGCTGGGTTGTGTATTGCCCACGTTAGGGTTGGTCCTTCTCCAGCCTGTTGACATCTGTAGCCTGTGGTTTTGTGCCTGGTGCTGCTTGTGAGCAGTGTATGGCTTCCTATGAAACAGAAGGCAAATGACATGGGGGTGTTGAGCCGATAGATGGAGTGAGTTCAGATCTGAGCTTCTCCATGGTGGATATGCTCTAACAAATTATTTCAATCTCTCTTTCTTCAGTTTCTCTTCGTCTTAAATTTGGAGCAAATGGGGTTTTTGTGAGGGTTTTATACAGCATTTGGAAACAGTGTTTTCCACATAATGAATGCTTAAGAAATGCTAGCTATCACTCCAGCTGTTGGAAGAAAGCAACTAAAACAAAATGCCCACCAAGAATTAAAAACCAGCTGTTCATGAATGCTCCTTCACACCCTTCGCTTAAACTTTGGCACTCAAGTGTGACTTGCTATGATTTAGCATACACAGCCAGGGAAGCTAGAAATTCCCTATGCAGACTGCCAGGGAACACAGCAAAACTTCCCTACACTTAGAGAGCTTTCCAGTGACTCTAAAACAATTTTTATTCTTTTTGGCATCCTCATGTCATTGATAACTACCAGAAGAAGAAGTAAACAGGTCATCAGAAGTCTGTTTCCCTATCACAGCTCAAGGTCATATTGTTGCATCTCTTCAAGATAGAGCTAGAAGTGGGGCCAATTTGATCTCATTCTTAGTATGAAAACCTTGCCCACCTACGGGTGTTTTAACCTCCTCTTTCTGGAAATCCAGCAACACTCAGCAAGAGTCTGGTTAGCCAAAAGGGAGAAAAAAGAAAGAGAGAAAAAAAAGTCCTCATGTCCATAACAAAACATATGGTTCTTTAGGAAGCTTTGGTTGGTAGTAGCTGGAGCAATCCCCTGGGTTTGGTAGTTGTTGCTTTGGGGGTCTTTACAGATTTTGTTTGGCCACTGTTGTCCTCCTTAGCCAGCTACAGGAACTAAAGCCAAGATAAATGCTCTCATTTGAGTATCTGACCATTTTCTGCTCACTGGTACAGTTAGACACAACCTAACTTTTTTAAATCCCCTCACTGCTAAAAACAAAGCAGGACATCTGGACCTGTGCCTTCCATAAATATGCAAAGTGGACAGAACTTGCCCTACTTTGCTTTCTGGAAGAAGTACTGATCTATGTGCTCACAAGCATGTAGGGGTAACACACCCATAATTTGATGGGGAGTGTCAAATGTCAGAATCCCTCCATTAGAGGCAGCAGGTGGGATTCTGGAAGTGCTGTGCAAGTATACCCAGTAGGCAAGGACGCCAGAGACCAGATGATAACTTGTGCCTGCCGTGCTGTCAATGCAGACTTCTCTGGTTCAGCAGAGATGATCTCCAAGTTGTTCATCTGTTGAAGAATACTTCTAGACAACTATAAGCCACAAAGAGAATTAATTGTAACCAATATTCCAGAACAGGAAAGTTCTCTTCATTTGTTGTCAAGTAAGAAGGTCATCATGAATGCAGGTTATAGGCTAGGATCAACAGCCCAGGTCTCAAGCAGTGCCAGGGGAAAATGTGTACAACTGGGATTGGTAAATAGATTCTAAAATATACATATACGTATATAGTTTCAGTTTGTACCCACATGCACGTACACACACACACAGATACACATATGCACACATACATACACACACTCCTGCCTTTAGGATAAAGAAAAACGTGAGTTAGCACTTATCTAAAGATAAAATTTACCTTTCCTTTTTTAACCATTAATTTTTTTAAAACAGCCTTGATGTGTTTTACTAAATTGTAGATTGTGGGGATTTGTGCTGTTTGAAATCTAAAAGAGAGAGAGGTGCCTTTCTTTGTATTCTCGGAGCAAAGTAGAAAGTGAACCCATGACTAGAAAGATAATATCAAGTAGGATATTGTAAACATACCTCGGGGAGATAACAACAGGATAACAGAGAGGCCGGCAAACAGGCCCATCCAGGGGGAGGAATTGGGTTAATGAGAGCTCTACAATGAAGCAGATTTTTAAAAGCCCACTCCTTCCAAGTCCTTTAGTTCAAGCTGCAGCCAAATATTTGCATAAAGAGTTGGTAAAGGATTCCAGCTTCCTGGTTCATGACTTTACAGCATGGATCGTTTTCAAAATTCACACCACCTCCTGTTTCAGCAGAAGTCGATGGCACAGCAGTCCCAGTGGCTCCCAGGACAGGTGTCTGGAGCTTGGCTTCCCAGCCCAAGAATGCCAGGGCAACGCTGGTCCCTTTAAAGTTTAAAGCCACCACCTGAAATCTAAAAAGAAAAAAAAAATTCTAAATTACTCATTTAGTATAATTAGCCATGCAGCTGGAAGATGCAGGCTACTCGACTATAAACAGTGAAAAGGAGCAGTTTCATCAGCTTGCAGTACTCAGTACAGCAATGAAGAAAGCAACCTTTCTTTATAAAAAGCAGTCGGAAGCACACAAAGACCTGCATGATCTCCTACCATAAACTACCGTAGATTGCTGTAACTCACTGACTCCAAGGCTTTAAGGAAGTATCTTCTATTTTGATATTTTATACATAGTAAGAATATGTGAGCATGTTTGGCTACTCAGGATTCAAAAAGGTAGGAATTATGTTCTCTGGGGGAATTCCTACAGCTCAGGATCCAGATGGCATATGAAAATGTTGAGGAAAATGATTGACTAAGTTATAGATAATTGGCTTTAAGTAAATGTTAGTCCCTATTAGTTTGAAAGTCAATACTAGCAAGGCTGTTTGCCGAGTTTTCTCAAACTGATACATTTCTGTAACAAAGTATTTACATTCATTTTTTTAAGAAAAATTAATAGCCTTAAAATTTGTGTGGGAGAGCTGATATTAAGGAAAAAAAAAATTTCCCAAGCAAACACAAACCTTGACTCTAAAGAAAGCATAGCATTATTTGTTTTGAAGGAAGGCAACTGTCTTTAGGGAGAAATAATCAGCTTACCTTATGGTAGAGGCAGAGCTCCTGCCCAAATGTCTCAGCTTCCCCTTGCACACCTTGAACTTCACTTTGTTTCATGGTCATGTCCTTCCTTTGGCAGCTGTCGGGAGGCAGCAGTATCCATCGAACAGAGCCAGTCACAACATCCTCTGCAGGTCAGTAAAGCCAGCATTCCAATTCCCTCAAAACCTCTTTCAGACATTCATCTGGGAAGTCTTTCAAAAGTGCTTGATTCAGGGGTTAAGATAGGCACCGCCATTTAATTGGAATCCAACCAATCAGAAAGGGAACAAAGCTTAGTGACTGCAGATGTAAGCTCTGTAAGGAAGCAGGCACACGTTTCTGCCTTTGTTTCTAAGCTGTCTCTTCTCTGCTGTCTAGGCAGTCCCCAGAGTCTTGTTCTTCACATTTATTCTACTTCCTCATCTCCAGGCAACTGGAGCCCCCGTGATCTATTGCAGTGTACTTTTCGGTGGGATGCAGAACATCCTGTAAGGCGCTAGCATATTGCTTTTGTCCCTGTTCATTTACCTTCCAGCCGACAGGGGCTTCCCTCCCCCGTTCTTTTCCCAGAAAGCAGTTCAAACAAGTGTGTAAGTTTTCTCAGCCCAGGACGAATAACCCTATTACGTAAACACTGCTGCCAATGCCACTCAGCAGCGAAGAGTTTAGGAAGGTCATACATAAGGAAGCCTGCGTGCATGGTGGTTCCCACTTAAAAGTGTCACTTTAACTTTAACCTTAAAGGAACTTGAAACTTTCAAACAAAAATCAAGTTGCTTGCAGTTGTTTACGTGGGCGTACCCTAGACCTTTCTTCTTGAAACAGTTAAGAAAAATTACCACAAATTGAGCCTATTGGTACCAAAAAGAAAAAAAAAAATTAAGATTATCCTTATTTAAAACTTAACAATTTTTTCTGGTTAATAGTATGTTAACATTTTCACAGTCATGGTCACATGCTACATCGTTACATATTACATGATAATGCACCATGTGACCTTTTGTCCTTTAAAACAAGCAGTACTGTTTCCTACTGTATTTCCAGGAGTCTCTGTTTTGTCATTTGCATCACCATTAAAACACTTCCTAAAGTTCTAGCCTCAACAATCACCATAAAGCAAGAGAATCCTTCGCCTTTGCGTCAAGTTGTCTTAGCACCTCAAACAGCTCTATCAGTTACTTCTGGGTGGTTTACTTGACCTGCAGTTTGAGGGGCTGGGCGTTGATGATTTGGTAGTTCAAGAAAAGAGGCTTGATGGGCCTGGTGGCGTGGCCTAGTGGCTAAGGTCCTCGCCTTGTGGTCCCAGGTTCTAATCCTGGCAGCTCCACTTCCTCTCTCTCTCTCCTCCTCTCTGTATATCTGACTTTGTAATAAAAATTTAAAATATAGCTTAAAAAAAAAAGAGCCTTGAGCCATGTGTGACTTGACTATGATGCTTGGAAGCAGGTTGAGTTCCCCTCTTTTATTTTTGCACTTGCCACATTTGCAGCCAATGTCCTCATTATAATCCATATTCAATTCATTAGGATTTGAATTAGCTAACAAAAATGTCTGAATTACCTGCCTTTTACCTTTTCTGGTACATCTTAAGTCCATCTCTCCTAGACATAGTAAATATTCAAATATAGAGTTTCGTTTAAACTGATAAGTGCCAATTCTCAAGCAAAAATCTGCCTCTTTTCTTTCTCCTCCAGGACTGTATATTGAACCGGAACAAATTTCTTCCACACCCAATTATTTTCAACCCCGAGATTTCTCCAGCTGTGCTTCTAATGAAGAAAATGCAGGCTGCCTGGACCAGATCTTCAATTCCTTCCTTCAGACAGAGACCCTCTCGGAACCTTTGCTCCACTCCACGCAAAGTGCTCCACACTATTTCCCAGACAGTTTCCAGGCTGCCCCTTCCCGCTTTAACCAGAACCTGGTAATTCATCTCTGTTCTTTATATAACTTGGTTGTTGCCAACTAAGGGTAATCATGCTTTGTAAGAGCTGGCAGCATCTCAGGAGAAATCATGCAAACACGATCAACGAGGAAGTCTTCCAAGGAAACAAGTAGGGACCATTTAGAACTCATTGTGTGGCAATAGTCATACATTGCAGGGCATCATTAAGATTTCCCAGCCTATACAAAATTGTAATAATAATAATTTTTAAAAAAGATTTCCCAAGGAGCTTATCCACATACACAAGTAAGCTGAAGTGCGACCACAAAAAGAGGGCTTCCTGGCAATATTTATTTGATGTCTTTTAAACTGTGACACTAAGACATCTACTAACCTAAACTAACATAAATCATGGTCATTGAATTTTTCAATGAGTCATGAGTTCTTGAAAATGGAATTAAGGCTGTGTCTACACAGGACTGACTTCACTCTGATAGTGGAGATGCGTTTTGCTTTGTCACTGAAGTGGCTTTGCTAGCAGGCCATTTGGGATTGGCATGCCTAACAAAGATGAAGCCCTAATTATTGAAAGAATCTGGATTGTGTCTGATGAATATAAAATTTTGAAAATGTGGTATCCTTTAAAATGAAGTACGCTTTCTAATAAGATACTAGTTGTATTTTTTAAAAAAAAAAAAACTTTTAAGGTTTTATTTTTAAGAGTTATACATAATTTTTTCTCTTGGTTGTCAGAAGTCTGTGTAGATGTGAGGCTCAATTTTAGAAGGAACAGGAAATGAACAGAATATGCATACTGTATTGAGGGCATACTGGGTCCCAGACACTCAGTTCCTTTCTGACCTCCATATTCGGCTCTGTCTAAAACAGTTGTAGGCATGCTCAAGAGGAAGCAGAAGGTACCTTTAGCACCTTAGTAGTGGAAACAGTAGTTACTAGTCTTGGAATATCCCGAAGAATCTAAATTCTACCACTTCTACATCCACCTGCTGCTCATGGTCAAGGTATGCAGAAACATCCAAGGTGCCACCTGCAGCTTATATCATGGCACACAGAAGGATCTGATGTACAGGTGACTTGAAGCATAATGGGATTTTGTGGTTTAAGAACAAAACATCCTCTAAAGTATGGTTATAACAAAGGAAGCCAGCGAAGCAAGGCAATCGATTGTTGGGAAATAAATGGGTAAATGTAGGCTGTGGTGTCATGAAATCACACAGTCAGCAAATAAAATTACTTCTGCCAACTTGGCTGTTTTGTTATTTCCGTCCTTACTCCACGTTAATAAACCCACACGGTACAATTCAATTACCGAGCTCTTTGTTCCTTACTTTTCACTTCTGCAGATTCCGGGATCACCTTCGGATTCCTCCACTCTCTCTGGCTCCTTAGATTACAGTTACTCGCCAGCTCAGCTGCCTTCCTACATCCCTGAGAACTTAAATTCTTCTGCTTCGGTGGACACCAGACACTGCGATTACCCCTCCGAAGACTGTGCCTACCATCCCTCGCCCTCCAGTGCCCAGTATAAGGGCTTCCCCCCAGCCGCGTCGGTCTGCTGCTGTGCCTCCTGCGAGGCGGAGCACTTGGATGCCTTCAGGACAGCGGAGTTCTTTTCCTACCCGAGCGCAGACTGCGTGGACTTTGCCTCCTCGGCAGCTGCTACCAATGATTTCTACACCAGGGAAACAAACTGCGACATCTGCTATACTTAATAGGAACTCTGCTTTTTCGGGACGTGGCGTGGGTACATCGGTTTTTTGTGCCACATCCAAATAGGCCTCCCATTAAGAAAACATCACAAGTACAGTTTGCCTATCACTACATCAGTTTTTTTGACACTAATTTAGGTTTCACTGGCAAGTCTTCAAACCTGGTTATGCTGTCTCTATTAGTTGCTCACAGTCAGAATTGTTGCAGGGAACTTTTGATTGTTTTAGCTTTCTGTGTAACGAACAAATATTATCTCTCTATTTTTTACCCAATAAATAATTTTTTTATTACTAAATGTTGGGTTTTTATTATTTTTTTAATTTCCAAGGAGTTGGAATTGTTCTGAGCATTCTCAAGCAATTCTAGAAATCATTAGTTGTTCTCTGGCACCTTCATCTCACTTTTTCATAGACACTGAAATCAGGTAAAGGTGCTGAGCCACCCCTGCTCCCCTGGGATTGACAGCAGTCACAGTTACGACGGTGGAGAGGATCACATCTGCTTCCCCTGCAAATGTGATGGGCTGTACATCTTAGAGCCACATCCCACAGAAAAACATTGATGGACTGCTAGTGCCTCATTTCTGACTTGCGTCTACAAAACGTACATCTGAACCACAAGTACATCCTGCCTACAGCCGTGTCGGTGTGTGGAGCATTCTTACTTGTCTCCAAAGTATTACTTTAGAAACTCTCCAGATAAATATTTAGTCTTCTTTTCTCTTGAGGGCTGCTATTCAACTGAAATACCCAAAAGTTTAGAATGAGTGGTTGTCCATAGGCACCTCAGAAAGTTCCTGGAGAAGTAGAACTAAAAGATGAGTTTGCAGGCAGGCCAATGCTGTAGCAGTCTAGGGACTCCTGTTGTGGCATAGCAAAGTTAAGCTGCTGCTTTTAACTTGATGCCGGCATCCCACATACAAAGAGAGGTCCTGGTTCTAGCTTCCCCTGACTTCCAATCCACATCCCTGCTAATGTGTCTTTGCATGGAGGGAGTTCCTGAACCCTGGCTGGCCCAACCCTAACCACTGTAGCCATCTGGGGAGTGAACTAGGGGAAGGAAGATTTTTTTCTTTTCTCTATCTTGTCTTCTCTGCCCATCCCTCTGCTCCCTCTCTCTGCCTTTAAAACAAATAATCTTTACAAGAAGAAAAAAAAAAAAAGATGTCACAGCTCATATTAGAGTGCCAGTATTTGAATCCCAGCCCCAGTTCCACTTTTGATTAAAGCTTCTTGCTAACACAGACCTTGGGAGAAAGTGGTGATGGCTCAAGAGATTTGATTTCCGCTACCCCCCTGGGAGACATGGGTTGAGTTCATGGTTCCTACCCCCTGACTACTGCAAGCATTTGCAAAGTTAACCACTATATGGGAGGGAGAACTCCCTCTCTCACTCGTTTCTCACATAAATACAATTTTTAAAAAATAGAACATAAACTTTTTTTATGCAACAGTGTCAAATAAGAAGTATTCAAACGTTCATGAAGAATGTATAGTATAAGAAAATGGTGCAGGTATTTCAATTTTTTGCACCAAAATAAGATTTTTTAATGCCATTTTCCCGCAAGCCTTTTGAAATATCTTCAAATTCCTGAATTTATGCTTTAGATCCTTAAAGATTCATTGCTCATACCTATGAACTTGATTTATAAGAATAATCAAATTGCTTACAGCTGCATTTCAGGATTCACTTCCTCTGATCCAGTAACAACAACAACAACAAAACTATTGTCTTTCAGGATTAAGAGAAGTTACTTCAGCTAGCTCTGCTGGACGCTGCTGTTAAATACAGCTTGCTGAGGGCATTAAGGCATAGGGCTCAATCTCTGAGATCTGGGACACATCTTCCACATGGCACATACCAACACTATGGCAATAATGCTAATATCAGAATTGCCTATGAGTTTTCTCACACATGATCGCATTTAACATTCAAAACAGCATTGATAGCAAAATGAGAAGCCAATGAAACCAGTGCTGTGGCAAAGCATATTAAGCCACTTGCAGGACAAGCATGTCATGGGCACCAGCTTGAGTCTCAGCTGCTCCACTTCCAATTCAGCTCCCTACTAATGTGCCTGGAAAAGCAGTGGGAGATGGATTTGGTCCTTGGGCCCCTTCCACCTATATGGGAGGCCTGGAAAAATCTCCTGGCTCCTGGCTTCAACCTGACCCAGTCCTAGCTATTGCAGCCATTTGTAGGGTGAACCAGCAGTTGGAAAGTCCAGCCCTGGCTCTCCTTTTCTTTCTCTGTAATTCTGCTTTTCAAACACATCCAGGAAGCGCCCTAGTCCTATTCCTTATACTCTGCTGGGAGAGTTTTTGTCATCACCTATGAAAGGTTTCAGGAACCACTGGAATCACTGAATCCCAACTTGCTCAAATACACAATGCTGAGTCCCTACCACAACCAAGGCAGATCTGCCTGATAGGTTCAGAAAGAATACCAAGATGCCAAGCACAAGAGCTGCCAGGGTCCCACTCTTTGGGGATGAAACCAACTGCCACCTCAGCAGGCTTCTTCCCATCAATAGACGGATGTGACACTGGCCAACTGTCCTTTCCCTGGGGACTCAACTAAAGCTTGGGCAAATAGTACAAGTTGCATCCTGCCTCATGGGACAGCTGTGCCAGTGAAACAGAACAATTGCTGCCTTTCTGAGATGCCAATAAAAGTAAAATTTTAATGACTTGAAATTGGTCTATTGTCAACAAATTCTTCTTTACACACAGACCAAAATTTCTCACACTTCCCACCCTATCCCCAGTCAGTGTCAGCCAGGAACAAAGAGCAAAGACTCCAAAGATGTCCAGTGGTTGACATCAAGTTACACCTTTCCTAATTGCTATTCTTGACACTGCTGTTGTTTTATTTTTGTTTTCCCATCTCAGTCTTCTGCCTTCTGAATCAATTATCTTGCAGCTGCAACAGGCAACATTTTCTTACCTCTTTGTTTCTAATTTTTTTTTGCACCCCCCCCCCTTTATTTTTCCCTAGGTCTAGGATGGAAGAGATTTCAGAGAGGAATATGAAATAAGAGTGAATGTTGCTATTCTTAATGCACAGCGTCACCTTCAAATAATCTTTCATAGCTTTCCAGAAATGTGGTCCTACAGATCTCTTCATGCTTTACTAGGAGGATGTGTACCACCTGCCTCCTCTCTCAGTCACTGTAGCTCACACAGAAATGCTCAGGGGCTCTGTTAGCAGCAGTAAGACAACTGCAGAAGCAGTGGGAAGACCGAGAATGCCTCTCATCAACATACACCCAGGAAGCAGGGTAAAATACAGCTACTTATGCCTCAGCAGGAGAAAGCATGAGTTGGCAGATCAGGGGCAGCCCCAGCACCAGCATGTCCTAAATGTCTCAATGTTGATTCCACGCTAGATTATCCTGTTTACACTTGAAAAACATTTTCCTTATGAAAGCATTTCCTATATCTTATGGGAAGGAAATGTGAACGTTTTCCTTTGGGTTAGATGGAATTAACAATTTATTTTGGGGCAAAAATACTGAAATCCACACGTAGTCTCCAAAATACACATTTTCTTTTTTATTCTTTATATAAAGTGAACAAATTTCACATGTGTCACAATACAGCTTTAGGAGCACAGTGATATTTCCCACCCTACTCTCCTCCCTGCCCATGTTCCCTACCCACCCTATCTTTCCTTCTTACTCTTTTTTTAAAATTTTACAATGTCATATTTTCATTTTTCCTTTCAATCACAGGCTTAATACCCCATTGGGTAAATATTTCAAGAAATAGCAAAAAACAAACAAACAAACAAAACTACTGTTCTTCAAGGATATAAACACAGGCTAACACACATTTTGCATGAACTTGGGGAAGAGCCCTCATATTCAGTTTGTGAATTGTTCATCTGAAGGCCCAGCAGCACAGTAAGAACTTACATGGACTCAGCTCTTTGTACAAGTCCATGCAGTTCACACTGTCTCTTAATCTACCATTTTATAGATAAGGCAATTGAAGCTTAGGAAGATGAAACCACTTGCCCAAGATATCACTACTTATTGGTCAGGCTGAGAGCTCCGTACTCAGTTTATTTGATATTATGGTTTGAACTTCTAATAACCTCAATACATTTCCCCTGCATCACATTTGGAAGAATAATCTTGTTGGCATGTGATCCTTTACATTAACAGATACATGCACATCTGCAGCCAATTCCTCATACCACAGGGGCACTTGATAAAATGAAATGGAAGTTTAAATGAATGATTAAGTTATTCAGAGTCATTAGAAAGTTGAATAAAACAAAACGTTAACCAAGTGGTTACTGCACTATGCAAGAGTGATCATGTGTCCTCTAAAAGCAACTTCGACCATTGCAAGGGGATGGAATTTTATTTTATTTTAAAACTAAGAATATCAGTTTGGTGGGCATGGATTGTTCTTCAAAATCTTAGGACATTTAACTTAGGAATCATCTCGAAGCATGAGAAAGATTAAGATGAGACAAAGTTGAAGGTAGAAAATTTTCAGAAACTATTGCCTCAAGCAATGGCTCAGACAACAGCATCTTGGCAGCTGGCCTAAACCTGCAGGTGAACATTCAGGAGCAAGGCAGAGATAGATAAGGAAAACTGAAATGATGGTGTGCAGCAGGGGAGAGTGCCTATTGATTCGTTTTTAAGTATCGGCATTCAATCTAGAAAGAGGAATGCTAAAATGAGTTAGGACCGAAGCCAAAGAAATTGTGAATAACTTGATTAAAATAAACATGGATTAAGAAAGGTTATGTCTTTGCAGAAAAATAAAATACGTACTCACAGAAGACCCATTGTAACTTAGAAAACAGTTTCTCTTAAAATGAAAGGAGAGCTTATCCTTGAAAGCTTATCTATGAGGGACAAAGAGTGACCTATTTGTTGTCATGTGAATAACCAGGAGGAAAGACAGATTTGCCCTTCAACCTGGCAGGATGGACCTAGCACACCACAGTTTACCTGGAACATTGCTAGTGAGGCCACCACCTCCCTCCTCAATTCTTGGTTGAGGA